AACTTCGCTAGTTAAAATTATTGTTATACTGTATCAAGAACAATAAAAAAAATATGTCGAGGAAGACGATGGTGCAACGCATACCATGGTCAATTATAAAACCAGGTTGACAGGTATTGTCAAATTTGACATAAACCTTAAATTATCGACTCCTAAGTTTTTGGGATAGATTTTACGATTAATACATTTCATCTTAACTACCTATATAAAAATATGTGCGAAAATATAAGGAGCGCGTCTTTACTCTCAAAACGGGTTTGTTTATAATTTGTATAAGTATAGATTAGGTTCAATTTATGAAGGGTTATTATTTCCCATCAATATTTAGTAGGACATGGAAACGTTCGTTCAAAGCCTACATACACGGTTTTATACACAAACAAAAATCATCATAACTGATTAGAATATCAGTGATTATTGCCCATAACGTATTCACAAACATAAGCTCGGAAAAATACTACGAACGAACAATATAAGGAGCGCGTCTTACTCTCAAAACGGGTTTTTTTATAATTTGTATAAGTATAGATTAGGTTCAATTTATGAAGGGTTATTATTTCCCATCAATATTTAGTAGGATATGGAAACGTTCGTTCAAAGCCTACATACACGGTTTATACACAAACAAAAAATCATCATAACTGATTAGAATATCAGTGATTATTGCCCATAACGTATTCACAAACATAAGCTCGGAAAATATACTACGAACGGAAAATATAAGGAGCGCGTCTTTACTCTCAAAACGGGTTTGTTTATAATTTGTATAAGTATAGATTAGGTTCAATTTATGAAGGGTTATTATTTCCCATCAATATTTAGTAGGACATGGAAACGTTCGTTCAAAGCCTACATACACGGTTTATACACAAACAAAAAATCATCATAACTGATTAGAATATCAGTGATTATTGCCCATAACGTATTCACAAACAAAAGCTCGGAAAATATACTACGAACGCTAAAGTAAATATTACATACTTCATTTCTTTGCAGATTTTTACATTATTACTCCTAAATATCTTATTATTATAAGAGGACTCAAAACTATTTTCAACACATTATTTCTCTAGCAAACAACCCTTAAATGAAAAAGCGACGAAATATTAATAAAAAACATACCCATTATATATAAATACATTTCTAAGTACCAGATTTTAGAGCTTACATTACTTATAAAAACCTTTTCAAGTGCTTAACAGAATGTCTGTATCAAAAAAGTGTCCTTTATAAAATATCGTCTACATAAAGCATATGGGCGTAATGAACACTGAATCCATTAGACCTTTTTTTAACATATTTTTCACTTTATCTTGCCTGCTGAAAAAGAATAATGTTATTAGTTTACACAACACTGAACACGACGACAAGGTAGCTTTATAAAACGTGAGAAAGTTGAAGGTTTCATTCAGATGGCGCATCAACAGTACTAGCCATTTTAGATTTTATTTTAATTACTTTTAAATCAGTACCTACAAGTTTTCTGTGCACTGCCCACAAATCAATACATTCATTAGGATATGTATACATATACGTTAACAAATTTTGGCATACTATTTCTTCTTATGACACTTTTTGCTATACCATTGAGTTTTACCATTTCTTTACTTTTTATTTGTTGTCATGTATTATAATCTTTTTACTCACAGATGGATTGGCCACATTAAAAACAACTTTTAGGCAATGAATAGACTGACGAGAGATGACAAATAGACTTGAGATCAATAACATCAAAAATATATCTATAACGTCTAAACTAAAAAATAAAATTATTTTAATCATTTTCTAAACTGCATGAAAATTGGCTGTGGTCAAATTATACCCTTAACATCGAACAGCATTTAATTATATAAATATGTAATGAAATTGATGATATAAAAATATAGACAACGGCTTTTACGTGTGATGGTTACAATTTACATACGCGCTTTGTTTGTATACATTCTCACACCTGAGGCCTAATGTCTTAAATGAGGCTCATTACACGAGCACGTTATGTTTCGTAATTAAACCTATTACAATTTGAGTCTCCAAGGAAGTACCTATTACTCATTCAAAACGAGTCGGAACGTCGCATCTATTATTGGATATTCGTTACCAATGTAAATAACCTATTCAAAATACCATATAATTACAAATAGGCTAAGCTTTTTTTTATAATTAATTTAATACAAGTTTAGGTTTCTGTAATAAAAAGGTATATATTTCCTTTTCTTTTTATATCGCATTTTAAAATTCTGAATTGCTGATCGATGTTTTGTACAGGAGCATTATTTTTGTCCCTCTCTCTCTTAACGTTCAAGAGCGTCGCCAAAATGCTAGAGAGCGTATGCAAATATAACCCAATTGGTAAATTTCACTATACCGACAGAAAAAAATGATCAGTTGTTTTTAATGAAAACCACCTACATATAAATAGGATTGCTCCCTGCTTTTATCTTTTAGATACATTTACAGCTTTAGTGAATTATCAAAATAACAATAGGCTACAAGTCAACCAGTCACCCGAACTAAAAGATTAGTTATCTTCAGTACTTCACCATTATGGGCGTGTCACAATGACATCATACCAATCACATTTCTGCTATTATACCTTCAAAGGAAATATTACGTGAGAGGTAACTCGTCATCATTCCCGCAGCTTGTGAGCGAACGAGCCCGTATTATTACGCGGTGACAGCCCTAGGCATTAATCTCTTGAACAAATATAAGAGACTGTTAGCATCTGGCAAGAGTGGCAGGGTTGTCACTACGCGAGTCGCCCGAAATTATCGCGAAGGAATGTTTGCTCTACACTTAAGCGAAGGCTAATTGACGGAATTGTTAGTTGAAATTGTCTTCTTGTTATTTTACGTTGTTTAAATATACCAAATTGTCATAGAAAATTATATTATATCCATTTGTTATACAATAGTACACATTGGTTAAATATTAAAAACTACTTTCCATTTACATAATATATAAACTTTGCATTAAAATAATCTTCAAAACAAGTATCTCATTCTGTCACTGTTCTATCATAGCAGCAGAGTTGAAACGGTTGATTTTTTTATAAGTAGTAAGTTCATACCACGTTAGTTAATTATCATAGGTCAAATCTTGCTTCCTGTTTTCGATTTATTGATATTTTGCATGACAATGTAATCTTAATATGGAATTATGCTAATGTAATGATGAAGCCAGAAAATATTCATAGAATCTCTAAAATTAAACGAAGCAACCCCATCAAGCCTAGGCCTGCCGTTTGTTTGATCTTGACAGTGTAGCGTCTCTCGACCTTCATATCTAGATCACGTAGAAAGCACTTACTAAATAATATTCCAAATGACGCATATATACATACTCTTGGAGTCAAAATAAGGACTTGGTCCGAGGTTACAGCTTGTCTTTACAGCTCGAAAGAACTGAAAGCTTACCATTGAAACTTTGTAATTAAGTAGAGCAACACCTCCGTCGAGTTTTGTCTCTTTTGATTTGTTTATACAATATTACTGTATTCAACAAAAGCTTATTTTAAATAAAGTACATATTAAATATAATATACAAAAAAAAACTTAATACAAAAGCTTTTGATTGATTAAATACATTACAAATTGAAATGAAATAAACATAAGACTCTCAAACATTCAGTAGTAATTCAATTGTACAATTTCATAATTACTAACAAATTAGGTTAACGGAAAAAATTCACCGTTCACGCGTCCAATATGCAGACAAATTGTAGGGGCGTGCCACTGTCAAAGCGTCACGGTGACGTATGGCAGCGGCAAAACTGATGCGGCTCTGCCACGCTCTATTATTTATGATAACCCGTCAATTTGTATCGTCCGACCAATGGATCCGGAGCCCTGTATAGGTTATTCGCTATTTGGGGGTTAAATGTATTTGCAACTTTTTATACTCGCTTAAACGAAGTCATATTTTAGATTTAATTGAATGTAACGCTCGGATAACGGTGCACGATATGGTTGGACGGTAATGTTTCTTTTTTTCGTGAAACGTACATTTTGCGCTCTGTAACAGGTTATTTAATAAAAAAGAGAACCAAGCAACGTATTTCGATTTATTATTATGTGATTATTTTTTCCCAATTATATAATGTTAAATATTTAGCTCATCAGAAAAACAACAAATCCAAATCACAAAGAAAAATAATACGCACATCATTCCAAAAATTATTCAAATAAGATAATTTGTAAACATTATCTTTCATTCCGATACCGTTTCGATAAAAAAAATATTTTGCTAAAAAATATTAATTGAACTGCGTCATCTCTTGACAGTCAAAAATAATGAAAACGCGCATTACACCTTAAGCCCGATCTCGCAACTAGTTGTGACAACTGATATTTATCAGAAGCACCATATTGTACCTGTGACAAATGTGTCCCATTACAGCCCACTAGTTGCCGCAGCGTACCTACTACCTGACATGGAATTTCATTTAAAGAAGCGACACGACGCCATAGCCGCCCGCTTGCTAATTTCGCGCCACTATGAATCATATTTATGAGGCAGGGAAATTTCTGTGCGTGTGCCTACTCGCTCTATAAAACTGATTTATTTTTTTTATCATGACGACTAATATACGAAACGACACGTGATAAAATGTCACTGTCTCGTCGATAACAACTTGGTCCCAAATTGTGAATTCGATAGTGCAAACGCTTTTTTATTGTTGTGTAATTTAAACCTTTTTGCATTGTACTAACTCAACTCAATCTTTTGTTTAAAACAATATGAAATATTAAACCGATATAGGCATACATTTGACCCAATTTATGTTCTTATACATAATACCTAGTATAAGAACATAAATTGGGTCATTATGTTCTTATTATCTTATATAATTATGTGGTATGTAATTTTCTCTTTATAATTTGGATTACAATCAATTGACTAACTGTTTTCACGCTTTAATTATAGCCAATAATATGATGTGTGTCTGTGATAAGTTTTTGGTGCGAACGCTGACTTATTGGTCTCTTTTTCTTTCACAGGAACAGTCCCACAAGTCGTATCGGCCTCTGACGGTGCTAACCTTCAGGTGGAACTATGCCGTCCACGGCTTACAACCAGCCGGCTACCACCTAGTGAACCTCCTTCTGCACGCACTTGTCTCACTACTATATTACAGGTAACACTATGATGCTCTCATTGAAAAATACTTAAAAAATCACCAATACCAGTTTCCCGAGATGACATTTGAACCCTCATTTTTACTGTTTTATATGAGAAATTTCGTCTATTTTCGAGATGTTAATATACCTCAAGAGAAACGCATTCGCTAAATATGATGTAATTGAGATAGCACTTTTCAATAGGGGTGTAGACAACTGTTAAATATTTTTATCTTATATATATACAGGTATACATACATGAAATAAAAAAAATATTAAAAAAGTATCAATCATACGAGTATAATAAGTTAAAATCTATAAATAAATATAATTTCCAAAATTTCCCGTGAAAACACAACGCTTCACGGCTATCTGAAACTAATATTTTATGTAGAACTGACTGAATATTTTATGAAAAATGACTAAAATACATTTACACTCTGAAGACTAAATGCTAAGAAAAATTAGCGTGTTAATTAATGCGTTAATATATTAACGCGTTAAATACATAATAAAAAGGGTGCGCGACAAACGCACTAAATCAAGCAGTACACTAAATCTCGTAGCACGTTATTTATTACTTGTTGATCTTTGAACTGAGCGCGTGCTATAGTAAACAACAATTTATTAATATTTTATTCTAATATCATATAAAATTAACACGCTAAGCGTTTATTTAAACACCTCTAGTTATATGCATGCATAAGGTTGAATTCTCTTTAATTCTGATATGAGTAAGAGGGGTGTGACGTCACACGCTGTTTGAGGTGACGTGACAACGAGTATAAAATATTGTTTTTTTTTATAATTAATTTAAGCAATATTATAAATATAATAAGCATAAAAGTGTTATAATCGATAATACACTATTGAATAATACCAGAAAAAAACTATATGTATTTGTTTTTGTTTACTGTCTACACCCGTATTACAGATATAATTTTAACAAAAATGTAAAAACGATTTGAAATTTTCTATCTAGAAATAAATTAATCTAATAGTCCCTCAGGTGTCACGCGAACCATAACCTACTCGAAAGACTCGAGAAGCATTCAAGAAACTCGGGAACGGGTATAGAGTAGTAATAAATATATGCCTATACAATGTCTCACACTGATTCTCCGATTTTTATGACATCAATACTTACAAAAATTAACTTCTTCTTTTTGCCAATGATGTAGGTAAACGAATACACTGACCGCTACAGTATTGAAAGATATTGCCATCAAAAATATGCCTAGAAATTGATTCTTATTGAAAAAAACTCCTTCAATACAGCATTTGTACAAACACAAACACGTTACACGTCATTACATATTACCGATATGTCGTGAACAAGACATCCAATAGTCGATCACCATCATAATTCAGAATGGTGTATTAATATGTATGACGGCTCTTTCCAATAGGGGTTCGTATTGGATTAATTTAATAAAGTCGATAGGTTCGGGCTACGAGCCGTCCTTAGTTGTCCCACCGGGACCAATATTTCTGTGAACAAAATAAACAACTCTTCTATTTATATATAACTCGTAAGTAATAGTTTCGTATTGACGACAAAAATAACATTTAATAACCAACAACAATGAATTGGCTTGAGGACATGGTAAACATATATAAGTACTTACAACAAATATATTGGAAATCATTTCACTTGAAAAATAAATAGTCCGAATAAGATTTCTATAAGTCGATTCCTAGAGCAGAGGCATGGTGCTAAATGACTCCTGCGATCGTTGATGTTAAGCAACTTTCACACGGGATGGGTTACCAAAAAAAATATCTCGAGCTACTCCGTACTTTGGAGGCACATAATGACGTTGGTCCCGGCTGAATTTGAATCCGTTAATACCCTTAAATCCGCATTGGGCTAATATGGATGGCCCATACTCCTTAACCATCCACAAGGAAGGCCTGAGTCTCTGCAGTGGGAACGTAAAAGGGCTAATGATGATGAAACAAAAATCTAAGCTTATTCTCAGAAACTGTTTAATGTTTGCTTATTTTTTTGTATGTGCATATCTATATCTCTGCTACTTCCATACTCAATTACCTCCATTCGTTAAAATATATTCTACCCTGCAACGTATATTTTATCAATAATATAACAATAGAAGGATCGATATAAGCTGACCGTAAAGTAGAAATCCGTATATTAGAAAATAGAAATTAATTTAATTAATAATAAAGTCCAATCACAGGCAGCCGCGTCGTTAACCCTTAATTGTTAATTGGATCGGGAAACTTTTAATTGTTAGGACTCTTTAATACCTTGAAGGGCTCCATTTAATTATTCAACACAATGCTTGTCGATTGCCTGCTTACGGTTTGTTTATTTCACGATGAAGAAATTGTGTTTACAGGTAAAAATTGTTATTTAAAGTAGATATCCTATCGAACTATGGAATTTGGTCTCCTCTTTTACTCATCTTTAGTGTCCATCGTCGTTTCAACAACATCATTAACCCTCGCTTTATCTTATTGCTATACATAATAAATACAAGGCAATTCTACAAATATCATTACCATTTTGTATAAAGTTATTAGTGTAAAGCTGCATAGATACGTTTATCCATATCAATTAAGGTTTCTTTTCCATCACAATTGTACAAATCCTACGAGGACCAGGGTGAATTAATTAAACATCAGCTGTTGTTACGACAAATAGTCACCGAAAGATGTATTAAAGCTAATCGTTTACTCAAACAAATCACTTAAATGAGGAACAGGCATTACAATTGTCTCAGAACAAGGGGAATTGTACCTTTCATAAGAGCCACCGTTGTCTGTACCTGGATTTGTTTCTTGAGCCTCAGTGCACCCACAGGAAATTAGAGGGTGTCACGACACGTAAAAGGGAATGGACAATCGTACCGTACTCGATTACATTCGTATTTCCAACGTCTATTAGCTTTTTTATGGAAACTCAAGGAGTATTATTTTGCTTCAATAATAACTTCAGTTATTATAAATTACTTTGAATATTCTTAATATTGTCCTGGCTGGTTAGATTACTGGTGCGAGCTCAACGATGACGTATTAGTATTCAGTCGCTGCAGTTGGTGGAGACAGCAGTACTTGTTCAATGATTTCAAATGCTAGAATCCTTTCAACTGTCAATTCAGGTAATTATTTCTTACAATTATCATTATTAGAATTAATTAACAAACTGGCAGATTACTTCAAACACACCCGTCATTACGGAACAGACGAAGTACCGTACCGCTTCGCGCTAAGCCAGTTTTAATCAGACCCGGAGCGTCGGTCCGATCCTCTTAGTTACTACTAATTACAGATACTTGCTGTGTCCACCACGAATCTGGTCTGGCTTATGCGTCGATATCCAATTTCCAACTTAATCCTGTTAACGATTTTCGAGCGGTCATTATCATTTCTGGCTAGGTAGGACAATTTGCAGAATTGAGTTTTGGCGAACGTTCTTTTGCCGTTAATTACCAAATCCGTAATTACAGTTGAAAAGGTAACTATATATTTTTATTTATAATAAGATCTGTTATGCAAACAAATCCTATTAAAATTATAAATGTGAAAGTTAACGTCGAAACCACTGAACGGATTTTCATAAAAGTTTGTATACAGATAGGGTATTGGCTAACTTAGATAATATTTGTCCCACTTTTTATCCAACTAAACATTTCCCTAGTGACCATGCCGGACGAAGCCACTGGCGAAAGCTATGAATTAATAAAATGCTTATTTGATGAGAGCGAGTAAGCGCTTCAAGAACATTGTGAAGTACCGAGACGTAGACTTATTTCATATCCGCTAATCCAGTTGAAACATGTGCTAATGAACTAGTGTATCCTAAATATTGTCTAGTATCTCTTATCTTTATAGCTTTATGGCGCTGTACCGTTCTTTGATATGTCGTCACAATTTTAAAACTTTTAAATTGCCTTCTAAATTAATAACATAAAATATACGAACCGAATAAAATAAATATTAAAAGGGGGCTCACATACAACAAATTATTAAAAATACGCCACTGAGATTTTGAGTCTTAATTTTATGGAAAATCATAAACTGAATGTCCACAAAATTTCTCTTGTATCGTCTACTAATCAGATGAACGCGAATGCAACGCAGGTAGCTTAACTCCTATTGTGAATACCTTCAACTTGTTTACGTCACTTAAAAGTTATAATATGCTCACTGCCTGGCGTACTCCAATCACATTAGTGTATCAAGTGAAACTTTTAGGCTCCCCCATTATTTGCAACTCTGGAAATTTTCCGGGTACTCCCCTTAACTTATAATGGAATTACTTTTAAATTCATGGTTGCATGGTGCATGCGGAAAGGCTCATTTGAGAGGAACGTATTTTATGGCGGAAATTTTACCTCTAATAAACAGATAGGAAAATGTGAAGTAAGCAAAGTTGAAGGAAAATTTAATATTAACGGTGCGGGAGTGTCGATCCTTTGTCCATATATATAAAACTTACTTATTTATCGTTTACAATAATGGATTTTAATAAATTGGATTAAGCAAACTGATTAATTATTAAAAAATCTATTTTTAGTGGATATATATGCTTTTAATATGATCATTTTAGGACGTTTCGCAACCTTTACAGGTTCCGTGTACACTTGGAAGCTGATTGTCTGTTCATCGTGTCATATCGTGTTCACTTAGACTCAGATGTTGATTGTGTTATTTTTTTTTTGATGAATTATTATTTATTCAATTAATTTTTATCTGCCTACCTGTATATGTGGTACTATTCTGTTACAGCTACTACCTCAAGCTCAACGAGCGCAGCTCTGTCAGGACGATTAATGAAATGAAACCTAATTGAAAAATAACGCTTTTAATTAATTGATGCTTTAAGCTGTGACAGCGCTGCGCTCATCATCTAATAAGTATTTTCAAGATTTAATAGAATAATATACAATAACAGCTGAACCAAGGCGGTAATGGCTGGCAAAAAGAAATGTTCGTTCAGTAAATAATATCAACTATATTTGTGACTTATCATTTTAACGAGATATACTAG